CCTTTCCTCGCTCCTCCCTGTTCCGAGGGCCTTGCGGCCAGGTCCGCCGATCCGGAAGGCGGGACCTCCCCCAGGGCCCTCGCTGGCGACACCCCTGGGACCCCCGGGACCCGCCGGGAACTTCCCCCCCGCGCCTTCTCACCCCCTCGCCCCCCCAGCCGTAAGCCCAAGAAGAAACACCAGAAACATAGACTTTTGGCGCTCCGCGCGGACTTTTCGTGGAGCCGCGCCTGGGCCCCTGGCGCGCTCAGCGCGCCAGGGAGGGGGGTCCAGAAAGCCCGCGCGAAGCGCGCTCCGCGCGCTCCGCGAATCCAAGAAATCCGCTCGAAGCGCCAAAAGTTTATGTTTGTGTGATTGTTTCTTCTTCTACTCAACCCCCGCCCACCCAGCCGTAAGGGTTAACTATCTCCGCCCACTGGAACAAGGCTCGCGTCAAGCTCTTCGGAGATACATCAGAGGTTCGTCTCAGTATTGTGTTGCGTTCCTTCCCTCGTCACTCTCTCTCTCTCTCTTTCCCCCTCCCTCTAACATCCGCCGCAAGAGGAATTTTGTTGTAACTCGCCACACAAGGATTATGCTGGTGGCGGACGCACAAGACGGCCGAGAGCTCAGGGGGGGGCAACCATGAACAAAAATAACGCCTGGGACTGTCAGTTGATTTGATGTTTCTTTGGGGCTGGCGGCCCTGTGGACCCTCGGTTGAAAGCTCAGGGGGGGGGCAACCAAAAAAGAAAACATAAAGAATACGAATGAAAAAAGAACCAACGCCTGGGACTGTCAGTTGATTTGATGTTTTTCGTGGCTGGCGGCCCTGTGGACCCTCGGTTGAAAGCTCAGGAGGGGGCAACCAACAACAAAAGAAAGAGAAACAACCATGAAAAAAGAAAACAAGTAACAACGCCTGGGACTGTCAGTTGATTTGATGTTCTTCGTGGCTGGCGGCCCTGTGGACCCTCGGTTGAAAGCTCAGGGGGGGCAACCAAAAAAGAAGAAACATGAAAACGCCATGGGAAAACGAACAAGAAAAACACGCATGGGACTCTCTGTTATTTTTGATGTTTTCCGTGGCTGGCGGCCCTGTAGACTTTCGATTGACTCTGACACACATAAAATCAAGGTGTAAATCTACCACATAAGGAATCCATTTCAAAATCCATTACCAGAGGTCCTTTTGATTATTTATGTGTGCCTGTGTGCCGGAGTTAATCGAGGGCCCACTGGGCCGCCAACCACAATAAATCAGTGAATAACTGAGAGTCTCAGGTGTTTCCCCCCCCCATTTCTTCCCCGTTTTTTTTCCGTGGGGGGCTATTACCCCCGTGGCCCTTCGGCCATCTTGTACGTCGGCCAAAAAAGAATCCCTTTGCGGCGGGTTGCAAAAGTATCCCCCTGTGTGACGGTTTTCAATCGGAGTCTCCCGCTTTCCCGCCCCCCGACTCAGAGGAACTTAAGCGGTAGTAAGATCGTTGCAGCTCCGTGCGGTACAGAATTTCATGTGAAGTTCCATACTCTATGGGACGATCCCACATCCAGAAGGTTTCCAATCGGATGTCGATAGGAATGGAGCCGAGCCCAGACCCATATGATTTCAAGTTGACTCCAATAGAAGTCGCATCGGGATGGTGCAAACCAGATGCAAACACATCCTGACTTGATTTCAAAAGTATTCAGTCGGTTTTATTGTGGTTGGAGCAGGCCCCACGCCCACATGATCCAAGTCATTGTAAATTTGTAGACCAATCATCTGTTCCAGGGTGGGCGGAGATGCAACCTCCACCCCCCCCACCCCTCACCCCCGTCAGGGAGGGGAGAAGGGGGAGCAAAGCCTCTCGCGCACGCCGAAGGGTCGGAGATTTGTTGGAACCACGCCAGGGCGGGCCCACAGAGGCAAGCTGGCACGCAGATTTTGCGATCAGCGGGTGTTCGGGACACGTCTTCGACGAGTGTCGGTGCCACGCATTGCAAGTTTTCCCCGGGCCATCCCGGCGTCCTTTGGTCGCCAGGCGGTCTTGGGAGCCAGCCGAGGGCCGTTGGGGGTCCATGGGGACAACGTTTCTGATGAGTGCACCGGAATTAGAGGCCCGCGAGTTTCGCATCATCCCTGCTGCCTTCGACGAGTGGCTGGCTCCCTCACCTCTGAGGAGGAGGAGGAAGAGGAGGAGGAGGAGGTGGAGGAGGAGGAGGAGGAGGAGGAGCATGAGGAGGAGCAGGAGGAGGAGCAGGAGGAGAAACAGGAGGAGGAGGAGGAGGAGGAGGAGGAGGAGGAGGAGGAGGAGGAAGAGGAAGAGGAGGAGTGGAAGGAGGAGGAGGAGGAGGAGGAGGAGGAGGAGGAGACCTCTGGTCCGCCAGGTCCTTCATCCTGCTGGAGGACCACGTGGGCTTCCAGCACCGTGTGTACAGAGACGAGCTCCTCAGGTGAGCGACGGAAGAAAACGGGGCCGACGGCGCCGCCATTCGCGCGCAGTCTTCATGCGCAAGGTCGCGCGTGCGCGTCCTCGTCACCACGCGGTCTGCCGCGCTGGCGGCCCGCGCATGCCGCGGCGCAAGGTCGTTGTGCCTTCCCGCGTAAGTCCCGTTTGTTCTCGTCGCTCAGGTGGCTCAGCAAGGGCGCGGACAGGAGGATGAGCAAGGACTCGGTCGGCAGCTGCGCCTCTGAAGCGGAGGCCCCTTGGGCTTCCTGTGGGAGCACGGCGCAGTGGGCCAGGAGGAGGAAGTCCAGATCCCCGAGGATATTCGGGCCGTTCGAAGACCGAAGAAAAACGATTTGCACAAACACGCAGTCTGCATTAACAACATGGAAGAATAGGTTGAAGAACAGTTGAGCAGCAAACGAATTGCATAAACATCATTTCTCGAAGCTCCGCGCGGATTTCTTGAATCGGCGCTGGGTTCCCCTGGCGGCGCCTCTGGCGGCGCCTCTTGCGCGCTCTGCGCGCCAGGGAGGGGATCCGGCGCCGATCCAAGACACCCACGCGGACCTCTGCGAAGTTGTGCTCGTATGCAGTTTTCTGTTCCTCCTGAACAGGGGGATCGGGATCTCGCCATCGGTCTCACAATCGATGCCACCATCGACCTCACAATCGATCCCACTCCATCTGTCCCACAATCGATCCTCTCACGATCCCCCGATACCACCCCCTATCGTCTGCCTCGAGGCATGGCTCTGGTTCGATTTGGGCGTGCTCCCTCGATGTCCCTCCTGACCGGCCGCTCCCTTCTCGCCCAGCTCCGGCGGGCTGCGCGACCCTCGCTCTGCCGCGCCCTGGCTGTTGCAGCCCCGTCGCCTCGTGTCCAGCGTGGCCGCCCACAACTCGGGAGGGGAAAAAACACACACACAGACACCATTTGTCGCCGACTCCCAGGAGAATGTGGGAAGATATGAGAAGTGGGGGGAAGATAGAAACCCAGAAGATATGGGAAAGTATGGGGGATCCTCTTCTTTGTATGTTTTGTATGTCCCAGGGCCCCTTCGCACAGCACTTTCCTTGACTTCGGCCCCTCGGAGGAGGAGGAGGCAGGCCCACGGGCCGATCGAGAGCGGGCTCGGGGCGGGGCGCTGCCCGGGGTACGGCGCCGCCCGACCCCGGTGCTGCCGCTGCCGGAGCTGGCGGTGCCAGAATTGGCGCTGCCGTGGCCGCGCCCACGCAAGTCTTCAGTCGGGCCTGTCCCTCTATAGTATTCAAAAATAGTCCAACCATAGTCGGGGGAAGATTTGTTTATAAAGTATATTTTTGGCCATGTGGATGTGGAAGTACTTTTCTGCCAGCTCCTCGGGCTCCAGGGCCAGGGAGGGCGGCGCGAGGGCTGCCGGCGACCCAAAGTGGGCTCGGGGCGGAGAGCTGCCCCCGTGGGGCTGGCCGGGACCTCCGGGGCCTCCGGGCTCCCCGCGCGGACCCGCGGTGGTGCCGGCTCTGCTGCTGCCGCAGAGCGCCAGGGGTCTGCTCCGGGTGCGGTCGACGTCCCGTACGGAAGTCACGGGGGCGAAGGCCGTTGGATTTGAGCCGGGCCGGTCCCTCTACAGGGGGGACATTCAGAAATAGTCCAAAAGTAGTCTGGGGACGATGTTTTCAGTATTTTTGAATATGTTTCGAATATTTTTTGACTAATTTTAATTTTTCGTCCGAAATCCGCCTATAGGGGGTCATGCCCGACCTAAGTTAGGTAGTAAATCACGGAAGCTTCCGCCCGTCTTGGTTTGAGTGTGTATCGGCGGTCAGCGCCCAACAGCGCTCAACAGCGCCAAATACTGCTCCCAACATTGCCGAACGGGGCTGATCTCGCGCCCCAAATAACGCCCATCAGCGCTACATAATAGCGTCATGTGAGGGAGATGCATTATGTCCGCTTTGCGCGCGATTGGGCGCGCCATTGGGCGCCATGGGGACGACCACAAGGACCACAAGCTTCCGTGAGTTGTTTTCTAAGGGACGAAAGCCGACAGCAGTTCCAGGCCATCTTGCACATGGCTCGCCGTCGGTGTCGCCGCGGACGTCGTCCAAGAGAGGCAAAACTCGCCTGCCAGCACCTGGCGTTGTTGATTTTTGGGCAACATTTGCTGCTGTTCGGGCATCGTCCCAATTTTTGTCAATTTCGGCGTGCCAGCTGCTGGCTGCTACTCTCTATCACAGTGGACCTGCTCTCACGGTGCAGGCGAGTTGGAGGGAGTGGCTGCAGTGCTTGTTCCATCTCTGGCCAAGGGCCAAGTTGCCGTCTCAGCGAGTCTGGGACCTCCTCCTTTCCTTTTCCAGCCTCCCTGCAGCAGTGAGCGAGGAGCAGAGATGGGACGGTTCGGATGCAACTCCTGGGAGGTCAAATTCTGTTTTTGCCCTGGTCCGAAATCCGGCTGAATCCCGCTCAATCTGGCTTCATTCCGCTGAATCCCGCTTTAATCCGGCTTAATCCGAGGCCCGCTCCGGCATAACAGCCCCCCAATGGGGCTTAATCCTCTTTTATCTTTCCGACGAAAACCTCCCAGTAGTTGCCTCCTAGGGACGGTGGCCATGCCCCGAGCTGGCTCCGAGAGGCCTCGGAGGAGGCGACCCGTGCCGAAATCGGCCTCCGCGTGGCCACCCCTTGATGCCCAAGCCAGCGGCGCCCTCCGTCCTCCGCCCGCCACCGCGCCCTCCTTCTTCCCTCGTCTGTCGCCCCCATCGTCACTCCTCGCCCTCTTCCTCCTTCCTCCTTCATCCTCCATCCTCCATCCTTCTCCTCTTCCTCCTCCTCCTCCTCCTCTTCCTCCCTCTCTCTCTCTCTTCCTCTCACTCTCTCTCTCTCTCTCTCTCTCCTTATCTCTCTCTCTCTCTCTCTTTCCCCCTCCCTCTTTCTCATTTGTTGTATTTACATGTAGATATGTTTGTGTGTTTATGCCTTATATATACATAGATGTGTGCTTATGCATATGTTTACACACATATGTAGATATGTATACACATGTGCATGTACAGGTATATCAAAATCAATATGTCGATTCCCCCGTGTGCCAACACGGATGTGTATCTTCGTCCCTCACCGCCGTCTGGCCATCTAGGCTCATGCGCGCGGCCGTTTCTGAATAACGGTTGGGCCAGGGACCTAAACGGTGTTTTTGGCGATTTCGTGGGCCGGTTTCGTTTCGACTTCGTTTTGAGGGAAAGGCGATTCGAGACAAGCGAGGGAAAACGAAAACAAAAAGAAAACGAAACACACCGTTTAGGTTTGGCCCTGGGTTGGGCGCTGCTGCTGGCCCTTGGGCCGGCACCCTCGACGCCGCGCCGCGGCGGAACTAGATGCCCATCCTCCTTTGCGCCCGCCACGCCGTCGCGCAGGGAAAAAGGCGGAGGGGGCCGAGGCGGCGGACCGCGGAGGAGGGCGGAGGGCGCGTGGCAGCGCTCCGTGCGACCCTCCTCGGACGGGAGCCAGGGCGCAAGGCGAAGGACCGCGGAGAAAGGTCCGGGGCGCGCGGCAGCGCTCCGTACGACTCTGTGGAAAGGGAGCCGGCCCGCCAGGCTGACAGGGTCCCCCCCGTCGTCGAGGTCGCAATCGGGTGAAGAGGGCTGGTACCAGCTCCGAGGTGGACGCGTGGCCTCCGAGATCACAGGAGGGTTCTCGGTGCGGGCAGGGGTCAGGCGAAGGGCTGCGCGGTTTCCCAGCGGGCTCGTCGGGGCCCTGGCGCGGTGGGTAGGATGATGATGATGATGATGATGATGATGATGATGATGATGATGATGATGATGATGATGATGAGGAGGAGATGAGGAGGAGGAGAAGGAGGAGGAGGAGGGAGGAGGAGGAGGAGGAGGAGGAGGAGGAGGACAAGGAGGACAAGGAGGAGGACGAGGAGGAGTTGGAGGAGGAGGAGGAGGAGGAGGAGGAGGAGGAGGGGCCCTGACGCGGTGGGTCAGGACGAAGGCGCCACCCATCGGGCGCGAGCAGCAGCGGGGTTCTGCACGACCCCTCGGGGCGGGGGCCCCGCTCGCGCGGTGCGCAACGGTTCGGGGGGTGGAGGGTTTCTCCGAAGGGCTTAGGCGACCCGTCCTCTCTCCTCCCTTCCTCCCTCCTCCTTCTCCTTCTCCATCCTCCTCTCCTCCTCCTCCTTCCTCCTCCTCCTCCTCCTCCTTCTCTCCTCCTCCTCTTCCTCCTCCTCCTCCTCCCTCCTCCGCCTCCTCCTTCTCCTCCTACTTCTCCTGTGGTCGCCTACGGTCCTGGAGGAAACCGTGCAAGCCCGCGAGGTCAAGCGGACAATGGCGGCGCCCTCCCAGCAGATGCGGCATACCAGGTGGCTCAGAGCATGACCGCGGGCGACAACCCCTACCGATGCACGGTTACTTTGGGGAGGAATTCTGGGTCTCTTCAGAGCCTCTTTGGAGCCTCTTAGGAGGCTCTTGGGGCCTCTTCCAGTTTCCTGGGGGGCCTCTTGTGGGCCTCTTGGGAGCCTCTTGGGGACCTCCTGGGGCCTCCATGGAGCCTTTCGGGGCCGAGGGCTGGAAATGTCCGTTCGGGTCCCCTGTCTGGGCATGCTCTTGGTGCTGCCTTGGAGGCCTGTTGGGCCGTCTTGGAGGCGTTGTGGGGTGCATTGGGGTCCTCTTGGGCGGTTTGGGGGCCCTCTTGGACGCCTTTTCGGCCGTCTTGGGGCGGCGTGGAGCGGAAAAGGCGAGAACGTCCAAATCTTGAAACAACCACAGGGAACTTGATACATTTTGCCCCGCGGGGCCCTCTTCGGGAGTACTCTTGGAGGCTTCTTGGGACGCCTTGGCGGCCTCCTGGGCAGTTCGGAGGCCTTGACGGCGTTTTGGATCGACAGTTTGGCGATTCGGGGCCCTCTTGGACCGTCTCTTGGGCCTCTTAGGGCACTCTTGGGCTGTTCTGGTATTCTCGGAGGCCCCAGGACCCCCAGGGAGGGATGTGTTCTCCCCCCTCTCCCTGGGGCCCCCCTGCCCCCCCCCTTCCCCCCCTCTCCTTTTGGACCCCCCCGCCGACGGGGAGCGATGCGACATCGCGAGACAATTCTTGCGCTGACAGGCTTGGGGATGAGGTTGCAGGGGAAGGGGACAGCGGAGACGACGACTGACGGAGACGACGGCTCGAACAGCCAAGCCCTTCACACACGCCGACAGCGTCGGCGGATGATGGGGGGTTGCCAGAAGTGGTCCTGGCCCGAGGTGGCCTGAAGCTTTCCAGGGTCCCGAGTGCCTCCGGGGACCCCCCCCCACGGGGCCCGGGGGCGCCCATGGGCTCCAACACTGTGCGAAAGGCTGGGGCCGCCTTTCTGGGTCAGGGCCGCCTCTGGCAGCACCCGGCCGTCGTGGTAGGCGCTTCATCATCACCTCCGCCGTCATCATCCCTGCCTTCCGATCCCTCGACCGCGCGGGCGGCACGCGCGCTTGGCCTGGCCCCGCCCCGAAGGGTTGCCGCGTGTCGGCCGTGTTCGTGAACTCCTGCGACTCTCTCGGGATCGCCACGGCCTTCATGGAGGCCTGTCCGGACGAGGGCGGGTGAGGAAGGAGGGCAGGGAAAGAGGAACACATGCGGGGGAAGAGGGGAGAGAGAGGGGGGAGGGGGAGGAGAGGCAACGGAGGAGGAGGAGGAGGAAGAAGAGGATGATGATGCTGCTGCTGATGCTGCTGATGATGATGATGATGATGATGATGATGATGATGATGATGATGATGATGCTGCTGATGATGATGATGATGCTGATGATGATGATGCTGATGATGATGATGGTGATGCTGATGATGATGGTGGTGGTGGTGATGATGATGCTAACGCTGATGATGGTGATGCTGATGGTGATGGTGATGGTGATGATGCTGGTGATGGTGATGATGCTGCTGATGATGAGGAGGAGGAGGATGAGGAGGAGCAGGGGGACCAGTGCAACCCCAAGGCTCATCAACTTTCCTGCAAAACGCCCTCCCTGCAAACTCCTTTGCCATAGGTCCCCACAAGGCTTCGTTTTCACTGAGGGACACACCCCGTTGGAAGACAAGCTTTTTGACATCCTGAGCCGCACCAAAATACCATTCCTGGGACTTTCACGCCGCAAATCAGCATAACTGCTGCGTCCTGACGATCCTGAATCGTGCCGGAACACCATCTTTGAGACTTCGACACTGCGAATCAACGTGACTGTTGTGTCCTAGCGGTCCTGATTCGTGCCAGAACATCATTCTTGGGACCTCAACCGTACGAATCCATGACGCTGCTATCACCTCGTGTGACGAATGTGCGCAGCGATTAGGCGAGACTCACATTTTGAAAAGGAACCGCCCTCCATGCGTGAATCTTTGGGGAACTTTTAGACGAATGTGCGCAGTGCTGATGCGAGAACCACATATTGAAAACCACCCACCCCCCAACAGTGAAACTCTGGCAAATTTGAAGACATGATTGCGCGGCGCTCAGGCGAGAAACACATTGAACACGTACCGTCTTTTCTACCCGTAAGTAAACATTTTAAGCGAATGTGTGCGGCATATAAGTGAGGACCATATTTCGAAAACCTCCCGCACTCCATCCGTGAAGCTGTTGAACATTTTTAGCTTAAGAATCCGAAGATGCACAGAAGCATTTGGCGACACGTCAGGCCCGCCCTGGGGACACGTCAAGGGGTACGGCAGGGAGGAGTTCTGTATAAGGAAAGGGGGGGGAGGAGGCCATTCATGGGAGTTCAACGCCGCGAATCACTGTTACTGGCGCGTGTCGACGGTCTCGAACTGTGCCAGAGCAGCGTTCCTGGGACGTCACCACCGCGAATCAACGTGACTGCTGCGCCCTGACGTTCCGACATCGTGCCAAATCACCATTTCTGGCTCGTTGGCCGTGAGAATCCTTGAAACTGCTTGCAAACTCTTGCGACGAATGTGCGCGGCGCTGGGGCGAGAGCCACATTTTGATAAAGAACCGCCCTCCATCCGTGAATCTCTGGCAAACTTTTAATATGAATGTGCGCAACGCTTGGGCGAGAACCACATTTTGAAAACCACCCGCCCCCCATCCGTGAGTCTCCTGCAAATTTTATGGCAGATGTGCGCGGCGCTCAGGCGCGAAGCATATTTCGAAAACCACCCGACCTCCATCAGTGAAACCCTTGCTCATTTAAACGAGGGTGCGCGGTGCTGAGGCGAGAGCCACATTTTGCAAACGTCTCTCCATCCGTGAAGCTGCTGCAATTTGTTAAGACGAATGTGCGCGACATTAAGGCGATAGCCACATTGTTTTGAGAGCCACCCGCCCTCCATCCGTGAAGCTGCGACAAGTTCTAAGCTTCAGGATCGAATTGGTGAGGAACATCTCGGGCGACTCGGGGTGCGACAGGGAGGAGTTATTCAGTAGGACGAGGGATGGAGGAGGAGGCGGCGGATGAGGAGGGCGGAGGAGGAGGATGAGGAGGAAGAGCAGGAGGAGGAGGAGGGCGGAGGAGGAGGAGGAGGAGGGCGGTGGAGGAGAAGGTTGAGGAGGAGGAGGAGGAGGAGGAGGAGGAGGAGGAGGAGGAGGATCAGGCGACGGGAGCGAGGCGGGCCCCGACCGCCGCCCCGCCGCCGGCCCGCCGAGGCCGGCGTGCCCCACGTGATCTGCTGCAACGGCCAGATCTTCGACGGCGCGTGCAAGATCTTCACGCGGGCGCCGCGCGCCGCGCCCGCCCGTGCGGGGCCGGCGCCGCTCCCGTGAAGTCGTGCTCCTCCGGCGGAGTATTCGAACAATAGTCAAACATAGTCGGGGTACGATCTGTTTTTTACCATCTCGAGCTGTTTTCGATTTGTTTGTTTGTTTTTTTTTGTTAGAAGAAAATCGTCCCAAATCCCCCTGTAGGTGGACATGCCCGACCTGACGCTCCCGTCGAGCGGCCCTCCAGGCGCCGGAGGGAGGGTCTATCCCTATAGGCCTACCCCCAGGGCTTGCCCCTATGGGCCTGCCCAGGGCCTACCCTGAGGCCCGCCCTGTGCCTCTGCCCCTGGGCCTCTGCTACCAGGCTTGCCCCAGGCCGACCCCCAAGTGGGGCCTGCCCCTGGGCCGATCCCCAGTCCTTGTTTTGTGTGCATGTACGTATGTATGTATGTATGTATGTATGCATGCATGCATGTATGTATGTATGTACGTATGTATGTATATCTGTATGTATGTATGCATGCATGCATGCATGCATGCATGCATGCATGCATGTATGTATGTATGTATGCATGCATGCATGTTTGTATGTTTGTATGTTTGTATGTATGTATGTATACATGCATGCATGCATGCATGCATGTATGTATGCACGCATGCATGCATGCATGTTTGTATGTTTGTATGTATGTATGTATGTCTGTATGCATGCATGCATGCATGCATGTATGTATGTATGTATGCATGCATGTATGTATGTATATGCATGTATGCATGTATGCATGTATGCATGTATGCATGTATGCATGTATGCATGCATGCATGTATGTATGTATGTATGTATGTGTATGTATGTATGTATGTATGTAGGTATGTATGTATGTATGTATGTATGTATGTATATATATGCATGTATGTATGTATGTATGTATGTATGTATGTATGTATGTATGTATGTATGTATGTATGTATGTATGTATATATATATGTATGTATGTATGCATGTATGTATGTATGTATGTATGCATGTTTGTATGTATGTATGTATGTATGTATGTATGCATGCATGCATGCATGCATGCATGTATGTATGTGTGTATGTATGTATGTATGTATGTATGTATGTATGTATGTATGTATGTATATATATATATACACCCTTGGTCTCCACCGCAGCTGGTTGGTGGGCCCCTTGGTCTGGGCCCTCCCTTCCGAACTACCCGAGATGCACCCAGCCTTGTCTCCGCGTACGGCGACTATCAAAAGAAGTGCTCTTAACATTGGAAGATATCTAGCTTTCTTGCCCACGGAGTTATCGAAAGTTGTGCAGTTGGCAGCCTCACTGGGAGCCGCGAGGTCTTCTCTAGGTTCGCGTGCAACCCCTCTCCGCTGGGCGGACCTAGCAGAACCCGACGGAAGTGGAGACAGTTGCGCAGTGACTGACGCACATCGACACCTGATGTACCGCGGGTGTGTCTGACACCTGATGTACCGCGGGTCCGATGGACCACCGCTGTGAACCGCCTGCGCCCCCCTTTTCCAACCTCCTCTGCTCTTCTCTCTCCTCCTCCGCTTCCAAAGAAACGCTTTCCGAACACCTGACTCGATTGCATGAGGAAAAAACAAATGGCGATGATAATGCTTCCGAGGGCCCGATGGACCATCGCTGTGAGCCCCCTGCTCCCCCCTTCATGTGCTTCCTCTGCTCTTCCTTCCTCCACCCTGCCTCTGCCTCGTCCTCCCGCCTGTCATCCTCCCCGCCCCGGGGGGAAACCGCCCTCTGGCCCCGTGGAGAGCCTCCCTCCTCCTCTGGAGGAGCGACGATTGGCCACACCTGGAAGGCTTGCGCACACGGGAGGGCGGATCCAGGCGCCGACGACACGACGGTGTCCGTGCGGTGTCCGTGCGGGTCCGACGACAGCTCCGGGGCGGCAGCCGAACGAGGGGGCCGCCGGACTCCCCCGGAGCTGCTCGAAGTGGCGCCCGTGGCGCAGCTCGCAGCGTCCCAGGGGGCCGCGAGGCCTCGCGTGACCACCGCCTCCGCCGCACCTCGCAGGAGCCCACGAAGATGGCGCCCGTGGCGCAGTTCGCAGCCTCCCAGGGAGCCGCGAGGTCTCGCGTGACCACCGCCTCCGCCGCACCTCCCAGGAGCCCACGAAAGTTGCGAAAGTTGCGCCATGCGCACACTGCCACGGAGCCGCGAGGTCTCGCGTGACTACCGCCTCCGCTGCACTTCCTGTGAGCCCGCGAATGTGGCGTCAGTTGCGCAATTCGCAGTCTCCCACGAAGCCGCGAGGTCTCGCGTGGCAATCGCCTCCGCTGGAGCTCCCATGAGCCCGCGAAAGTGGCGACAGGTGCGCAGTTTGCAGTCTTCCACGGAGCCGCGAGGTCTCGCGTAATACTGTCCGATGGAT